TGTAACTTTTTACTTCCATTTTCCATAGGTATAAAGTGCAGGGGAGGGTAAGGAATTCATCTGCCCTATCTGCTTAAGGGATTTTTACAGTTTACAATGTCATATATTTTTTCCCATGCTATTATTTCATTTCTTGATATTCCTCTGATTTCCATCCTGTGTATCTGGTTTTTGGTCCTCTGCAGATTGCACACTAAGATTCCCTGTCATTGTGTGCTGTTCTTAATGTTATAAATGTTTTTCCATGTCTTTGGATTGAGTGGTATTTTTATTCAGAGGACTATTTTTGTTAGTTTTCTTTAGTCTTCTGCTGAAGAACAGAGTTCTTGTGTTTTCAGTGCTAATTCTGGAAGGCAGCTGAACCACAAGACAGCCAATAACTGGTTGTAAGTGTTTATTTAGTTTAAAAACTACTCAGGGTCACTGAGATGATGAAAAAGAAGCTATTAAAGGTACACAATGCTTTCAGCAGTTTGAATAAGGGCAGAAGAAATAAAAAAATAAATAAATAAAAACTTCTCCTGAGCTCTTTCATGCATCTATCTTGTTGGCATTCCATGAGTACTAGCTTGTTTAATGAACCCAATTGATGAACCTTTTCTGTCTTTATTTGGAGTGGAGCTTTGGCAGTTTCTGGGTTACAAGCTTATTCACACTGTTAAGGTGAATTAAGTAAAATACAAATGTTAGGCTTGTTAATCAGAGTATGTTTGGAAAGAAAAAAAAAGTGCTCTTGATTTCTTTATTTACATCAGAAGTTTGTGGATTTGAGTAAGAGATCTAGAAATCTTAAAATCTCAACAGCCTGGTACAGATTTATGGCTTGTGAAGCAATCCACAGGATGCTGTGTGTATGTGTGACTTCCTTTCTCCAGTTCACGCAGGCATTTAATGCATCTTGACATTTGTCAGTAACTTAACTTGAGCAACTATTCAGACAGCAATGTCATGGTGATTATTAATGATATTCTTTGTGGAGACCACAGAAACAAAATCATTTGTCAGCACCTGCCTTTTTTCAAATTGTTTTGTTTTTAAATAAATGGCAAAGTCTCAAGGGAAGTTTTAGGCACATGTTCAAAGACTAGTATCATCCTTAACTAGTTCTATTGACTAGTCCCCTCATGTATTATGTCACAGAGGACAAAGACTTCGCTTCAGTGTTCTGATTGCCTTTCTGATCGTTTTACCAAGATTTTTAAGTTTCAGGAACCAACAAGAAAAAAACACCTGAGTCATGGCCTGGAATCTTCCATTAAATCTCCTCTATGTTTAGAAAAACTGGCATTATTATAGGAATCTACAACCTTAATCCGATCTAATTACTGGAACTGCTGAATGTGGTATATAAATTAGTGCTGGACCAAGTTAACCATACCCCAGCAAAAGGCTAAAAGTGCTTTAGAAGTGATGGGTAGGAGCAACTTTCTCTGAGGAGTAAAAGCACTGCCAGTAGAGCAAAGGGTAGCGTTGTCCTGCATCTGCATTTCTGCTGTAGCCCTAGGGAGGAGGTAGGGGAAGGGAATGGGGGAGAACAACTCAAAGTGGTCTGATTGATGACTAAATCAAATAAAGCATGTTTGTTTGCTTTAGAAAAGTTTCCTGAATGGCCTAGATAGTACAAACAAACAAACTGTAGATGATGGGTCTTAAGAGATGTAGAAGTCTAGGTGCACTTGCAATAGTGTGATGGCAGGTAGGCCAGATCTTTGAATAAGCGTGGTGCCATCCTGCATGGCAGAATGCTTGTAACAATTAATGACACTAAAAAAAGTATCTGTCTCTCAAATTGTCAAAATGAGTGACCACCTCAGAATCATCTTTATGCCCTGCCATCAAAACACAAAGTATAAGTCCTTGCACCTGACCCAGATACCTCACAGCTCTCTGTCTGCATGTTGGGGGAATGTCTCTTTGGGTCAGGGTTAGTTCTGTGGCTTTAATTGCCTGTCTCCCCTTCCTAAGTCCCCCTGGACCACCAAGGTAAAGAATACTTCATGTTTTCAATCTGTTGTTATTCATACCTGTCATCCCTTTTTGGTTTTAATTCTTATTCTCCAGTATTGTTGTGTTTGTTCCTCTGCTCTTTTCCTGCTCTCCCAACTCAAAGCACCCACTGTTCTGATTCCAGTCCCAGCACATTGTTCTGTTTCTGTTGGATGCCACCAGACATAGGCTGCTCATGGTTGTTGGCCCTATCTCTGACAGGGAGATAGACAGAACTTGCTCCTCAGTTCTGGTGCAGCTAAGAAACTGCAGCAGTCCCATGAGCTCAGAAAACCTGTCACAATTAGGAGGTCTAGTAAACAATAATGTTGGTGCTAAATGAATTCCATGTTCTGGTAGAAGGCTTCTGTGAAAGCATGTAAAGGCAAAGACAGAGAAAGAGTGTGAAGTGTGATCACTTCTCAAACTGCTCATTATTAATAAAAGGGGAGAAGGAAAATGAAAGTGAATGTGAGAAAATGTTTTTTTTCTTTCAAGTCCCAGAGCATCATGCAGGGAGCCTGAGTTAAAAAGCCCCCCACCTTTTCTAGATAAGTTTGTTTTGTTTAAAAAAAAAAAAAAAAAAAAAAAAAAAAAAAAACTTTTGCAAGCCCTGCCCTTCCAGTGCATTCACCATTAATTGTATACAAAAACTGTACTTTTGGAAAGGCCACATAAGTAGTATGGCAAACTAGATCTAGTCCTTAGGAAGAATTATTTCGGGGGGGGGGGGGGGGGGGGGGGGGTTGTTTGGCTTCTCACTTGATCTGGACTTCTTACCCTGTCTTTTTCTCTCTGGTCTTCTGCATATTTTAAGCTAAAAATAATTTGTATCCTGTAACTGCTGCAATAGCTTTCTCTCTTGGTTTCCTTACTTAACACTTAGAGGGATGTTCTTATTTTGCACTTTGAGTGCCCTTTATTTAATCTACTTTGCAAATGGATTGAGCTCAGCCTACAAAAAGACATTCTCATAACAAGCTACAGGTATTGACTCACTATTAGCTCCAGCCAAAAATGATAAGCCTTGTGGAGTCACTAGGCCCACTTCCCTTGTGATGGACTTGGCTCCATTGTTTCTATACCACAGCAAAGCACAGAGTGACTTTAAAGAGTTTTCCAAACTTGCTGTCAGATATGTTAGTAGCATGCCAGTCTGCAGCAAGGAGCTCTTCTGTGGACTATTAAACTTCATTGGTTTTGACAAGGCCTTTGGAGGGGGCTGAAACAAACTGTAGGAGGGGATAATTTTGTCAGCAGTCCTAATGTACTTTGTGGCCTCTGTTAAATCAAAACCCTTAGTATTCCCACCCTGTAAATTTGTGAGAAATTGCTGGTGTACTTCATGTCCTCATTTATGTTCAGTAACTTCCCTGCATAGTCAATCTCTTGAAGTCTATCTCTGCATGCTTTTCAAAAAGCTTTGTCTGAAGCTTTCTGTGCTGCATGAGCAAGGCTGATTTAAGCTTATTCCTGGCTTTCCTTTTGGCCTAGGCCTTTTTAAGCAGTTTGAGGACAACAATCCTGTTAAGCAGCAGATTAGCATTAAACAACTTTCCTAAGAGAATGGTTGTTAAATCATCATGATTTGTCGTAATTAATTCCTGAAAATAGTGAATCTGTCTTTGGACTAAGCAATCCCCCCAGTGTGAGGAATCATTGACATCTTCTTTATTGTGGCAGCCTGAATGATCTTAGATCTCTCTGTCCTGAGGTGATGCTGTGATTCTTTTTTCCAAGTGTATCTTTTCCTTCTCTTTGCAGAATACCAAACTGAACAGTGAAGTGCTTAGTGTCTGTTATCTGTTCTGAATGGAGGATACTTGTGTCTGAGGTTGTAACAGGTCCCTCTCTGTTTTGAGCTCTTGGGTGGGGCTAGTGCTTTCCTGTATTATGTGGTGCTGTAGCTGCTGGACCAACTTCTGCTGGCTCAAAGGCCTGCTGGGCCTGTTCTGACATCCTTCCAGTTTAGGGACAATAATATCAACATTGGCACTAGTTTAAAGGAACCTGTATGTAACCTTTCCAGTTGTCTCAAGTCAAGCTCCGGGGGAAAAAATGTGGAGAATTCCTCATGTACCTACTCTGTCCATCCACTTACATATTTTTACTCTATCACTTGCCTATAGCGATTAATGCAATAAGTTGTTTTTTTAATTGAATGATTCATCAGTTGAATGAGTTTGTTCATCTATTTTTCATTTTTGTTAGGCTTCTATTTTAAATATCATAATTCTTTCTGTGTATAGGGTAACAGTACGATGCTTTATAACATAAAATTGTTGAGTTTTTGATGGTATCTAATACCTGCATTTTGTTTTTTTTTGTTGTTTTATTTTATTTTATTTAGACTCAGCTCTCTCAAGAACCTCCAGATTTACAGAAAGCAGCGTTAGTTTCACTGAGTTAGACTTCCAGCTTGCTACTTGTAAGACTATCTGTACTCCCCTTGTGCTTTAGCCATGGTATCTGATTGTCTTTCTCTGGATACTTCTGACTGTGATGATTCAATGACCTTCTCTTATGTAAGAAAAATCATCTGAACTAGGAGTTGCTGAGGAAACTGGTGAAACTCCTTGTATTCTTCATGAGTTTCTTTAACAGCACAACAGGGAGTGGAGGGTCTCTGGACATCAGTGAGACGAGCAAATATATTTATTCCTGCTTAGGACAGAAGGTGTACTTTAAAACCTAGAATTCTAAGGTAACTTCTTCCAAAGAGAGAACTCCTCTACAGGACATCAGAGTGCTTCTCAGCGATCACTGGGTTACTTGCTTTTGCTTAAAACCTCCTGAAAAGGAGAAACATTCAGCACAGAATGTCAGTGACAGAAGAAGTTGTTTCATCTCTCTATTAGAAAAAGGGCCACTTGGCAAGTACATTGTAAGGTATCCTTGCAATAGTCATTTTAATATTAATAAAGGTAGCGTACAAGTGCACTTTCTATCTCAGTACTGCCAATTAGAGAACGATACTCCTACACATTCTTTCTGCTCTCTGCTTTTTTTTGCAGTGCTTTCACCTATGCCATCTGTGATGTTTTTATTTCCTGATGACCTTTTCAACAGTTTGTTGTTCTCATTCTTCTGTCCATGCGAGAAAGATGGAATTCTCCAAGGAAAGCTACTTGAACATATGGCAAGGTACAATATTATAGTGTGCAAACTGGCATTCATTACTGCCTCTGTGTACCGTTGACTTAATTTTTTTCTTCTAGATTTTTGTTTGGCAAAAGGTTTTGTTATTAATAACAGTTCTAACCTGGGGAAAGAGCCTCAGTGGGTGAGAACTAGATTGAAGTGTGAAGCCAGTTTATACCAACTAAGAGTCTGGACCAGGCAGTGGGTGGAGTCTTCAGGTACACAGAAAGATGGCTGTGGGAAAAAGTCATTTTTATAACATGAGCTAGACACACTGAAGAGCTTAACTTGCTTATTTTTTTCTACCAAGCATGGGAATAAGAAGCATATTTGAGTGCTGGGGCAAAAGCATTTGTGAGTCGGTGGATTCATTCTCAGAGCTATTAAGGCCAAAACTGAATGGAAGAATAAGTCATTAGGTGGGAAGGATGCCATTAATTAGAGAATAGCGGTGTAAATGTCAGGCTACTTCTCAAAAAAAGGAGTGTTACAGTGTAGGCAGGAAAAAGCTATGCATATCATGAAGGTAATAAATTCAGCTTGATATGATGTGCCACAGGTCTAGTGAGGGGGCTGAAAGGCAGGCCTAGTATGGGTTAAATGATGGGGCTATTTTTTGTAGCTTGTATTTCCTGATGACCTTTTCAACAGCTGCCTGCTTTTGTTCTTCTGGCCATATGAGAGAATTAGAATTCTCCCAGGGAGTCTACTTGAATGTCTGCCATATCTATCCATTTGTTTGAATTAAAAGGGTATTGTGTGGGCATCATAAAAATCAGAAAGAAGATGGGGGCTACTGAATTAAGATAGAAAACAAGGAAAGCATTATCAAGTATTTTTGTGGTCAGAGTGAAAAGGAAGTAATGGATAATTTACAAATCTGTGGATGAACAAATGATGAAACTTCAGAACATTTTACATATGTTAGTAGAAAGATGAATAGACAATAATCTGATTGACAGGAAGAATAGTGAGAAATCCCCAGGGCAGTGAAGAATAATTTAATTTTTATTTATTTATTTATTTATTTTTGCTTTAGTGGAAGGCAAGTAATCTGAAGTTTGTCTAAAGATTTGAAGGTAAAAGAAATGTTGGTATATCATGTGGCAGAGATGTGGGAGGATTTACTGGAAGAGGTGAACCAGCAATGTAAGTGGTTGATAGGTGGGGTGAGGATTAAGAAGAAGGGAGAGTGGGGGAGAATAAGACATTAATGCTGCTGCTGAAAATAGCTTGAGAGCTAGAGTTTTTACAAGATCAAGAAAAATCCACAGATGCAGTTTAGTGAGGATTTCTTCCAAGAAAGTACTTATTAGCAGTGATATTTATGCTAACATAAAAAGTGTAACTGATACTTACAAATCTGGAGCCCAAATGCTAGTTATTGAAAGCCTATGCAACAGGAAAAGCACCTCATTTTCTACATAGTCTTTCTCTGTAATACATCTATTTCTTATATCCTACCATTCAAAGAAATTATAAATTATCAGGCTGATGACTATAGAGACTGAGGTTTGCTATTTAACCCACAAAAAGTTGTTACACAAATCAATGGTGTAAAATAAGATGTCAGGCTGCCTGGTCACAGAAGCTGTAGATGGCACTGTGGAGCATTCACTAATGAGTGGCAGTATGTTTGGTGATGTTGCAGCTGCCCTTAGTATGGTTGCCAACAGACATGATTCTGGGGAGTTAGAGGGAGGTTGCAGATGATCTAGAACTGGAGAGAGTTCCATCGTTAGATTTCAGGCAACATATTGCACTGTTGGATTACATGAACAACAAATACTCTGAATTGGAGAGGATCCTCACTGACAAAGTTATGGTAAAAGGTTCGGTTGAATGTTGCAGTTCTGAATAATTCCCTTCCCTTTAAAATACTTGTTTTTCTGTCTGTTTGCCATTCAGGAAGCCATGTTTAAGCTTTAATCTTTGGAAGAAAGTCCATTTTCCTTATGTTCAAAACTGGTACATTTTTAATCAAGTACTGTGAATAGCACATCAAATGAATTGGTTAACCCTCAGATCAGTGTAGCAGATAATCTGTTTATTATGTTTGAGAGAATAAGTGCTCCTATCAACTTTTGATAAAGAACAAAAACAGTAATCTCTGGAAACATCTGTGGCAGGTTTCAGATGTTTCACTCCTGTTGGCATCAGTGGAAGTGCTAACACTTCCGTAATTCCAAATACTTTAAAAAAGGGAGTGGGGAGCATGTGCCTGAGGAAAGCACGCACAAAACCAATTCTCTTATTCTGTGTTTACTTACTTTGCAGAGTTGTCTCAAAGCACCAACTACAATCTGCAAAAACAAGATTGCTTCCCTATGGACCCAACTTGCATTAATATTTCAGTGGATAGATACATAAATTTAAAAAAAAAAAAAAAAAAAAAAGTTGTGGTAAACAGAAAGGAGGAAAAACAAATCTAAGATGAACTGATTTGTAAACCAATAAATATTACATCACCTTTACACAATCAAATTCCATAAAGGACATCAGATTATCAAAGTTATGAGAAAAGCTTGCTAGATACAGAAGAAGAAAATTCTCTGGGTCCTAAACAGCTTGTAATTCAATTATTGATTTTATTTGGTGGTAGTCTTTTAATAGCCAGCTGGCTGGTATTGGCCATTTGATATTTTATTATTTTGTTATTTTCTATTATATCCTGTTATCTCTGTCATAATCATTCCTAAGCAATTATTCAACTTAAAAAGACTTTGCACTGAGCATTGCTAATGTCCTTTGGTTTCTTTGCCCATCTGAGCTGTCATATGGTGCTCTTTCCAAAACCACATTTGTAGAGCACAGCTTTGGAACTGTTTAATTTTCTGGAGTAGAGTTTATCATTAAACACTAGACTGTCATGAAAACAATTCAATATGCATGACCTAAATCTATTTGTGGTTAAATAGTAAGGTCTGGAGGTTAATAAAAAGAACTGCAGCAAGCTGCTCACGAGATAATTCAAGAAACTTAGAAAAGATCACAGAACTCCAGCCATTTTCCCATTATGCTTAAAATAAAAAGTAAATTTAGAAGTAAGTTAATACTTGTATATTACTATGTCATTAGGAGTATTGAAAGAGATTTCATTGTTTCAAAGGATAGGTGAAAGAAAGGAGAACTATATGCAGTTGGCAAAAAACTACCTTTTTTAAATTTACCAGAATGTGGTGGTATTTATTTTTTTTTTTTAAGCTGTCCTTAGCGTTGTGACTGTGAATTGCTGGAGTGGGAAGGAGAAGAGACCTAAATCAGCTTCCAATTCAGCATTTAGGCAAGCACAGTCACTTCTCGAGTGCTGCTGAGTGTCACAGCAAGACTGGGAAGGGAAGTGGCACTAAACGACTCCTGAAAAGTCAGTAGGCTTATTAAGTCTTACTTAAAAAGTTGATTGGGGAGCTAATTTAGAGCTCCCCTGTCCTGCCTTTTAAGTATGATGAAAACCCTTAAAAGACTCTTGCTGGTGCTAACAGATTCAGAGTGGCATTGAGTGTAGACGTGAAGTAGGAACAGGGAAACACAAAGTTAGAAGAATTGGCTACCTTTGGAGTCTGTGCCTGTGCCTTGCTTCTAAAGGGAAAGAGAGGGTTAAAGGATATATTACTATCATCCGTTGACATTAATTTTTTGTTACTGTATTTTGAATCTACTGGGCCAGAGTCCTGCCATCAGAAGCCTCTTTTTCATCCACTTTGTCAGTATACAGAGGCCGAAATTGGGTCTAAATGTCATGCATACACGTTCTGATTTCCTAAGCAGTATAAAGGAACCGTGGGGTAAATAACAAACCCTGATGTGTACATACGGTGTTTTGTTGGTGTAATGGAATTCTGTTATTGTTCATGTGGCAACTGTGATACCACACAAAGAGCCAGCCAAGCAATCAAAAGATGGCATTGGAAACTGTTGTACATGCTCTAAATTGCTTCTAAGATGAGCCTTTAAAACTGAATGGCATTTCATAGCAAACTGCCTGCCCTTTTAATGGAAATGTCAGTCCTTTAGGAAGTTCTCGCTTAGAGGAACCATGTGGTAGACAATACTGCTAATGAAGATCTTCTTCTTTTGTCTCTGCACTTGCCCTCTCTTTTATTTCATTGCATAGAGATACCAGCCAGGACTCTTCAATTATGGGAATAGCTTTTCATTTTAACAACTGTTTTGTAGACATTCTTGCTAATGCATTTTGTCCGCCTTTGTTTTCCAGCCTCCCATTCCCATTGTCATCTTCTAAAATGACAGGAGACAGAGCTTTTTCATTAGGAGAAGAGCTAAGAGGAGACAGTACAGTTCAGGCAGTGCTTGGAAGAAAGAACAAAGGCTTGACTATTTAATTTTAAACTCACATTCATATTCAACAAGATATTTTTTATCTTATGGCCATTAATGGTGTACTAATTGGAAATATTTTGAGAGAATGAATTTTTAAAATATGACACCAATAATGTGACCCACAACAGGTTCTGAAAGTATTTTCATTCTCCATCGATTGTGTACCTGCTTACTTTTATCCTCTCCCAGTCAATAGATAAAATACATTATTATTTTAAACTTTGGTGAAGGAGGATTAAGATTAAATTTATACATGTTTCTCCTTCCGAGGGGAGCAAGCTGAACAGTATGTGTATAGGCAGTTACAGCACCTCTTGACTTCATAAACAGACACAGGTAATGAACATCCTATTGTGTTTCCCAGTGCTGTGTCAACAGGAGTGTTGGTGCTGGAGCTGATTCTGCTATTAAAGTATATGCCCAATATTCCTTTTATGTTAAACATTCACTATGGACCATGAAAAGATGTCAGGATCTCTGTCTGCACATCTTCCTGAAGATTCCTCTTTATGATTTCAGATGTATTACATATAATGTATCTTGTGTGGGTATTTGTAGGCATTCTTGTAAAGTTCCTTCCTCTACAGCACTTCTTCCTTTTTATCAGAAGGTTCTCATATGTCTTTCAGGCAGCTAAAAGAAGTGTTATGGCTCTTACTCTA